TGTTGTCCCGTATTTTAGATAGTAGGCTAGTGTGTTGTATTGTTTAAGCTATTGTTTGTATGAGTTAAAAAGAAGTAAGAAGAACAAATAATGAAGCTCTATTGAGCCTAATAATGATTTTCCCTTTTGTCATTTTTGGGATGGGATAATGTGCTTTTAAACAGTGTGTGGCATTTATATAGGCATTCTCTTATTAAACAATGCTATTGTACATCACTAGGCAACCTATTGTGTTGATTTAACTAAGGATCAGGGGTTGTTCACTTATGATAGTGAATGTTAATTTTGTAAAGTGAACATTCACTTTATCTCAGTAAATAAGGTGAAGCTGTGTTGAATTTAATTAGCCAGTTATGTGCAAGGGGTTTTAAAGTAAAACTCCAGGCTGGCCCAAAAAATAAATATTGAGGGGCCTGCTCCACATGTAGAGATACAAATGCTTAATTAGTCTAAGAGTTCTCTCAAAGAGAGCATTACTTACCTTAATCCTCAATCTTGTGGGCTTTCTACCTGATGGTTGCTGTAGTGGTGACCTGTCCCCTGAAGCTGCTTTCTTTCTCATGTGGTTGCCCTCCCACGTACATCATGTACAGTGCAGGACCAGCAGCCACCACTGGTACTACATTGTACATGATAAAGTCATAGGCCTGCACCCATTCCAAGTAAGGGAGAAGACCGAAGCACCAGCTGCAATACAACAGAGTAATAAGGTATGTATTTTCCTGTAGACAAAACAAGCAGCATATCCCAAAAATTGAGGGTTAGGCACTGTTTTTTTCCCCACCAGCTTGGTGTTTGGCTTCAAAAGAAAACATGACTTTTACTTGCAAACCTTTGGATGATTTTGCTCAACACAAATTCACCTTATTCACTTTGCAAAGCAAACACTCTGTACTCCTATGTAAATCAGCCCTAACAGATCACAGTTTGGCTGCGTCTCTTGTTTTTCGAATGTTTTTACTTTTACGATGAGTGGTAAACTTTTAATGAGGTATCAATTTAAAGCAGTGTACTAAGGTGGCACACAACATGTATATCCATGATAACTCCAGACTCATTTAAAAAATATGTTATATGAAGTTCAGAACTGATACTCTTAATGGAACAATTTTTAAACGATGTAGTTATTTTTCTGTACTTTTTGACAAGAACAATATCTGTTCTACTACTAGGATGCCAGCCCAATGCAAACATTTTATGGACTGGTCTTCCCAAAGCTTGAAGGCTGTGAATGTGTGGGTTTCCCACCATGCTATTACAAGCCCATTTGTGTTTTAGCATTGTGTTGGTGCTTCAAGAAGGTTGTCAATAAATATGAGCACCAGCAATGTATCAGGCTTATCTGCATTTCCAGTGACCCAGAAGAAAATGCGGACCTTGGGGTAATTTAAGTGTAGGTTATGACTCCACCCCCCCCCCCCCCCCCCCCCCCCACCAC